TTCTCCCAAACGTACCCATGTTTGCACCAGGCTACGTAAATATGCATGTCATTTTCTATTTTTGTTTCAATACAATCCACAAGACAAGGTAACTCCCCTGACCCCCACCAACACACACATGTGAGGCTTGGGGGGGGGGGGGGGGGGGGAGTTATCACGTCATTAGCACCAATGGGTAGGGGATTCAATTCATTCCAGTCCATGGAATCCTAGCTGGATAAAATCCAAGATGGCGTCCATGGTTCCTGGAAAAATCTCTAGGTTTGAAATGCTCACATGCAAATGTTAGCCATAAGCATGTCAAAGTAGAGAGATAAATGTCGACAACTATTTGGTTGTCGATCATAAAAAGTTGTCGATAACAAAAAAGCCAGTGTGTGAAGCTAGTTATCGATAACTAAGGTCCTTAGTTATCGATAACTAGAAGTTTTCAAAGAGAAATGACGTGCTGCCTTGCACAAGCTTTTATATTAGTATCACTACGCTAGAACGGCTGACACTCAAATAATTAAGTTACTTAACACTAAAATGAGTTTTATTTGAGATAACATTTTTAATTATCTATCGGTTGAAGACAAAAACTCGAAAAATGTCAGATGACTGATTCGCTCAAAAAGTCCCTTTCTCGTTTTAATTGAATGATACTTAATTGAATTGCAGTTTCTTCCGCCATATTAAAGTTACAATTGAATGTTCTAATTCAGTAGTATAAACGTGATCGCAAGCTCTGATCGAAACACGAAAAAAGCTCAACTTTGAGAGTCCATTTTAAAAATGTAGCGGCTGTTTGAAACTACTTATCTTCATAAAAGGGGAGAATAGATGACCGGCTTATTTTCAGCACGCTATGTTTGCAGAAATTGACATTATATTTTGAAACAACAATGAACAAACTCGTTACATGTTTACTACAATTATCATGGTCAATAGTCCTTGGGACACTCGATCAAATTAATGTAATGGCTCAGTGAGTCCTCAGTCAATTCTAAGCCCGACCATGGGGGTAAAATCAATCGTATTTTGTTAATAAACATGAAAAATAACTGAAATGTACAAACTGTCCCAAGATTTCTGTCCATGATTGTAGCTAAATGCTCGGATCATGAAATCCTTCTTGCCGGCTTTAACTTGTAACCTCTATATTTTAGTTTTTATTTCTTATATTTCTACCACAATGTTTGTAAATTTTGTATACTGATTATAATTTTTAATTTTTTTATCTTTTTATCCATGTAAAGCGCATTTGATCATTTAATATGAAATTTGCGCGTTGAGAGTTGTGGTCTATACAGTAGTCTCCGAGTTCTAGATAGCATAATACATGTAAATGGTTGCTCTTTTCTTCGGCGATAAGATTGTTTGAAAGCGAACTCTTGTGTTAATATTCTCGGCAAATCAATGATGATTTTTGTGGATATTCTGAGAGCAAGTGTAGAACATTGAGAGCAGGCGAAGTTTGTCAGGGCTTCGCATAAAATGAAAACTGCAGACTGCCACCGAATGGCAAAATTAGATTTAACATGTGAAATAAAATTGTAGTATACGTAAAGACTGTAACTGGGAACAGTTTAGCTCGAAAAATGCTTCAGTTTCATGATATTTGTTTACGGCAAGAGTAATGTATGGAAGATTTCCGAAGATTGTCGTAGAATTTGACGGCGCCGGCTTTGAATGGTTTTTGTGAAAATGGAAATAGCTTCTCGTTTCAGCTGCTTTGTGATGAAATGCCGCTCTAGTCTCCATTTCTGTAATTACATATTTGTGGTGTAAAAATTACTCATCTGAGTTTCTTGTTACTTGTTATTTCTTCGGTAGTCTTCTGAGCTACATGTACTAGCGCGCGTGAAAAACAGATTTTGCAAAACAAGCCTGAGATTTCAATATTTCTTTATCAAATTCAAACGAAGTACGAAAAAATAAAAAGGTTATTGGCCGGCCTAGGTCGGTCCATATTGAGAAAAACTGTGCCCTTGGTCTTGAGTGCGGCCCTCGGCCTAACGGCCTCGGGCCGCACTCAAGACCACGGGCACAGTTTTTCTCAATACGGACCTCCCGGCCGGCCAATAACCTCTATGTATGTCCAGCCGATGCCCAAGCTCGGAGAATTCGTCCACTACGAAGCCAAAATAATGTTTTAAATCGCTTGACATTTCTAAACAAAGATAGACTATTCTCAGAAGAATTAAATGAGATATTTCGTGTAAATTCTATTAGAATTTCAGACTGCCGGGTAAGCTTATCTAGTTTTTTGAAAACACTTCCCGGCTGCCGGGTATAGTATCTAGACACAATGTATATAAAAGCCAGCCCTTTTCAGTAATGGGCTCAATGTAGCAGGGTATTCTGCAGTTACTCCGATTACTATATACACTACGATTACTCTGTGCTATTATAAAGTTTTTCTTACCTCAATCTACTGGAGTAAAACAGTCAATAAAGTGAGCTACAAACACAAACCACGATCGTACGACGCCATTGAAACCACTAGAGCCCAGTCTGCTCGCAACTAGATTCGTAGACAAATAAATATGGACCAAAGGACTAGACTTGTTTCTCATGGACGGAAGATCGGGAAAAATGAGAATGGAGTGTTTGGTCTTGTCTCTCTCTTAGGAAAGGGAGACACTGCACACAGGAATAGCAGTCTCCCATACAAATCCTTATATTTTTAGCCATAACAAAACTGAAGATTAACTCAACAAAACAGTGTTAGATCTATACGAAAAATGCTAAAATGGACATAACAAAATGTAAACCGTTGACACTTAAGAAATGGTAAACGTGCAGCCGGCGTGCGTACATCGAGTTATGGATGCACGCGGGAGGTTGCTAAGCACGAAAGAAGCGTAAGAGTTGCTCGAGGCGATAGCCTCGAGCAACTCTAGCTTCTTGAGTACTTAGCAAACTCCCGCGTGCATCCATAACTCGATGTACGCACAGCTGTAGCGTTTACCATTTCTTTTATAACATAACACTGCAAACAGTTTTAATCTTACACGAATCGGCTGTCGAAATCCTACTCTTGAATTGCGCGAAAAAGCTCCTCAATAAATTGATTCAAGGTTAATTGACAGTCAGTGACAATAAAATTTGAACAGGCTAACGATAAAATGGCATTTACTTGTTTCATACCTTCACTGAAATAAATAAATTAATTGAATAATTTGATTTTCGCTTTACGGTGTAACCTGGAAGTTTGAACAACAAACCTTTACACGGCAAAGTTTTCATTCAGTAAAATTAATTCCGAGAATTTTATATACCGTCGCACGGCTCAGCTTCAGTACAAAAACTCCAAAATAAGTTTCGAAAGCAGAGTTTCTGATCTAACCTTTATTCTAGTTGAAAATTTCTTCCAGAATAATCCACATAAGCTTAATCAACAACAACCACTGCTCCGAGTAAACTTTTACCGGCTCCAACTTGCTTTCCCGATGACATTCCAGCACTTCGTGACTTCGAGTCATATATCGACAAAATATTTTATCCGCTTTGCCTCTTAGTTGAATTCAAGGCTGTTCAGCCGATTTATAATTCATCTTGCATGATTTGTGGTAATTTCGTCATTCTAAACTTCCAGCTTAGATGCAGATTTGTCGCTACGTCGAGAACTGACAGTTAGCGACCAGTGAAGTATCAAGCGCGCGAATTCGAAAACAAACCAGTGACGTCAGAGTGCACCATGGGCATATGGAGTCGCACAATTAACCAATCAGAGCGCGTGCTTCGCTGAAGTTATGTTATAATTACTAATGTAAAATGTTCTGTACAACGTTCATAAAAACTAAATCAAGACGTTTCAACCGAAAATTATCGACCTTTATCGCTTTAAAATGTCATAAAAGCCCATCTAACCAGTGGACACACATTTCACTAGACTCTGAAGATGACTTCCGTTCAAATTGTTGAAATGTCAGTCACCAACAACAGTCCTTTCCAGGGCTACACTAGCCTGCGTAGCTGGCGGTATTGTTCGCACAAGGTAAAGTTTTGTCAGCGGAGCGGGCAAAATGACAAAAATGAGCTGCAAAGCCGCGAGATAAATAGACTGCGAGAAGTCTCTATTTTCCCGCCCCAGACTCTCGCAGCTTCGCTGCTCACCGTTTCGCGGCAACAAATTTTGTCAACAAGACCGCCAGCTACACAGGCTAGGACAACACCCGCACCCTCGTTCCCAGGGACTCTCATCTTCCTGCTGACTAACAACAGACCCACAACATAGAAGACAATTCTCAACTTCTTTATTTTCATATTTTTACCCTTAAAAAAAGTTCGTCAATGTTCACAAAGTAATGCAATTAACAGAAACTATCCCGAAATGAAATTTTACAACCAATTGCAAACGACTAAACAAAAGTGAATGTGAAATTTTAAACAGATAACATCATCATTTTACATAACGTTTTTGTTTACAGAAAGCTGCATGATAATCGTACTATGTACTATAAAAGACGGACACCCTGTCGTGCTTCAGTTTATGTACCAAACAGTCTCAATAAAACAGATGCCTCTTTAAATCCGGTCGGGGAAACTAATGACTGCAGACTGCAAAAGTGGACTGAAAAATATCGGTCGGCTAGCCTAACCCTACCATTTTTGTAGTCTGCAGTCTGCATTTTCCCCGACCACCCTAAATGGAACGCTTTGAAACAGCAACGGACACTTGACAATTGCTTTTTCGTTAATAAATACTCCAGAGTGGACAATATATGCCGAATACACAACCTTTGTAATTACAGAGCGGACACTCAAAACCATGAACGCTATGGCTTTATTTAGCTTATTTTTAGCTTCTTTTCTACTTTTTTAAAAGCCAAATACATGCAGTCGTGATTCGAAGCAACGACCGATACATTTTTTTCTACTTCTTTTCCACGTTTTTATCAAAGTACCATCGTGGTGGTCTTATTTTGATAAAACGCAGAAATTAAGAATTAATTTCCGCGAAAATAAGTAACCGGCAATATATAAGGTATATGGCCTAAGCTCCCACGAGCATGTCTCCTGTAGTTCAGTTGTAGAGCGTCCGACCAGTGTGCGGAAGGTCATATTTTGATCATATGTTCGACTCCTGTTTGGAGAACTCGGAAAAAAAATCCGAGTAGCTTGTGTCACTGAGTGATTAACGTCTTTCTCAAGTATATTGTTAAAAAAGGTATATTGTTTTACTCACCAGGCATCTGACGAAAGCAGGATCCACCCTAAGCAAACATGATCTAGCAAAATGGGCGAAGCGTCCATTCCAGAGGAAATCTACATGGTCGGCGAAGCGTATTCAACATTACATGCATGGAATGAAGGCTGGGAAATAGAACAACCCGAGCCTTATTAGGTGCAAGAGAGGATAAGCATCTTCTCTTGACGTGGTCTCAGCTTTGCAGCCGTTATTTGTGTTGTCACGCAACGCTTCTCCGTGACGACCCAAATAAGGGCTGCGAAGGCGAATACTCTTGACGATACTTTATGTATGGGTAATCGTATTATACGCATGTATTTTGGGGTTTTATACTTAGGGTTAACCAAATGACGATGAGTGAAATTTGTGAACTGAATTAATCGCGGATTTTGTCAAAATTATAATTGCAACTTAGCGGAGGGAAACAGTGCAACTACTCCAGCCAAAATTATGTGCAAATTAGCAAATGAAAAAAAAAAAGGATTTCCCTCATGATTATAGGGAGCTAAGCAAACTGCACACCACAGAAGCAATAAATGTGTGACCATTTTTATTGTTTTAACACTCAAAACGCCATTGGTCAATTTGCAGAGAATTTGCTTGGGTGGTCTTGGTTTTAGTGGTCGCACTATAATGATTATAAACCTATTTTGACAAAATGTAGGTGAAATTATTTCTTTATTTTATAACAAGTACTCAGCCAGTATTCAGTATTCTTTTACGATGTTAAGCCAGTATCCACATTCGATATTCATTCAATCCCCGAAAACTAAAGGCCCTTAGACTGTAAAACTCAACAAATGTTTAATTTTGTTAACCTCCTAGCCTTCATTTAATTTTTACAGAATGTTACATTATTCGATTCAACAGCAACAGTGGCTTTCATCAAGATAAAACAAATAAATAGAGGTTATTCAGCGGAAAGTTGTGTAATATGGCTGGGTATTTTTACGAGTCAGTTTTTATTTTTTCGAGCCTTTAGGCGAGAAAAAATAAACACTGACGAGTAAAAATGCTTAGCCGTATTACACAACTTTCCGCTGAATAAATTGTTTATTATATGACATAATATCTTTCCTAAAATATAGGCTTTCAACAGTGTTTTCCGTAGCGCGCGGTCAGGGGGACTAAGACCCGTGTAATACGGTCTCATATCTGCTCTCGTCTTTGTGCATATCCGCACTCTAAAATGCTATGTCGTATAATAATAACTAGTATAACTTTCTCAAGGTATTTGTTTTATACTCAATTGTATTTTTTTTACAGAATGGCTGAAAGAACTGAACTAAATCTTCGCCACTTTAGAAACGGGAAGCAATCACCCGTCACTGGGGCCAAAATAATTAGTGACCTTTAGCAACAACGACGCCGACGCCATGGAAAACGTCACTTAAAAAGTGAATTCACGTTAGTTAGTTCTGTTGACAAGGAAATCAATTTAATGTAAAAATCATCGGGTTTTGTTAAAGCAATAAACCGCCATTCACCGTGGCCATTTTACTTCCAACATTGATCATTTATTCATTCCGTTCTATTCGATAATTTTGCCGGAGCGCCATCGGCAAGAAAATAGTCTCGATTGAAAGGCGCTACATAAAAAACTATTTCGCTATTATTCCAACACGCTCAATTTGTTCAATGTGGCCGAACTGTCTAGGAGCTGAATTCGTAGGGACAGACTTCAAGTCCAGATAGAGAAAGGAAAATTCACCGTCGTGTATCCACGTTCTCCATAATACCGTGAATTTGGTCATTTGACGTTGTCGTTTTGCAGAGGACGGCAAATAAATGTACCAAATTGTAAAACGCACGTGCAGAGCCATTGAACTGCTAATTAACTATTAATTAAACCTATTGTTTTGTAACCGATCCCACAAGCGACTGCAAGATGCGACTCGCCCCCAGAGTTCTCGTTTCTAAAGTGGCAAATGATGTATATGGTTGCTGTCAACGTATAAAAGGTCAAAAATGTTCTAACTGATACTTTTGCAGTCTGGTTTGTGATCCTTCCAGTGGTGTTTCTGGCATTTCTTACTGCAGTAGAACACTCTTTTACAGCCGGAGCATCTCTTTAAATCCCCAGTCTTTGAACGACAAAAGGCGCATGCTGGCTCTCTGAGAGGAGGTGCCCACTGAGGGGGGTCACAAACAGACGCATAATCCATCCCCGTATCGAAAGGAGACATTTGGTGTTGTAACATGTCTGCCAAGACCTCAGAGAAGCTCTCTGGAGAAACGTCCTCTTCGGATTGGCTAGTTTCTTGAGGAAAAAATGGGTTGAATGGGAAACCCTTCATTTTCCTGGCAAACTCCCCGGCTATGTCTGTAACATAAAGAACGGAAAGTTCCCAATTAAAATACTATTTTGCAAATGGTTTGAGCCCAGGAATATCAGTAGTTCCTCTAGTGTGATCGTCCGACATTCCGTGCGGAAGTCATCTTCAGAGTCAAGTGAAATGTGAAAGTACTATTGCCGGGGGAAAAGAGATGATGGTAGAAAGAAACAAAAACAGAAAGCGCTGGGTGGAAGCTTTTCGATCTTAGGTCTTTTTATAAAAAAAAGACGTTGGTTTTAAATGTTTTTTTCTCTCATAGCTACCCTGCAAGCAGAGTCGCTTTCGATCTGTATCTCATAGCCAGAGTCAGAACTTTTATACATTTTTCTTATGAATGCTCCTGGCTTCAATTTTAGTATTTTCCGTATGACCCTTGTTAAAACACGTCATGAACCACGTAAACGCTCGACCAGCCATCTAAGAAAGAAGAGCCGAATATTGCAGCTTACGGTACTTAAGTCGGGATGAAACCCTAGTGTGTGACCATTCAAATGAACGCTATTGAGCAGTACTTTCAAGTGGTGCTGTTTGTTTTTGACAATTTTGCAAAACGAAATTCAAGATTCATCCGTCCGTTTTAAACTTAGCACTCTTGAGAGTGAAAGGGTTAAGAACCCACCATTATATATATATGACGACAGGTATTTTTAAATTAAATTATAACTTTAATAAATACAAATAATACCTGTCATTATGACAAAAGGGAGTAAACTCTCCTAACGTAAAATAAGATTCAAAATGGTTGCTTATACCTGACTTACCCAAAACAAGGCTTCTTTCTCTTGGGAACAAAAGAGTTATATAGGAATTCTTCCAAACATCTGATCCACTATCTTGAGGTGCACGAGCTGCATTTGTATACAGCATTTTACGAAACAAGCTCTTCTCCTTTTGAAAAGAAGGTATGATATAAATGATATAATACCATTATTGTAACAACAATATAATAAATTAAATTTTTCTCACCGTGATTTATATAGGGCCCATAAAATTAATCATACGATTATTATGTTCAGAATGTTATAGGTGTCATATATATACCCTGATGAGAAAGAACAAAAAATGTGGGTACAAGAGGGGTGGGGGGGGGGGAGGGGGGGGGGGTGTGCCATAATTTTTTTTACAATTTCACTTTCAGTAACTGTTCATTCATCCCTAGCGAACTTTTTGATGTGACAACTATTTTTTCATGGGTTTTCACGTTGCCATGGTGACATGCATGTTTACCCAAATTTCGAATTTTCAGCCAGTATAATTATTTGTTCTAATGATAGGTTTACAAGTTTTATTAAGCAACATTGCAGTTTTAGTACATTTTGTAATAATTTTGTATTGATTTATGCTATTCTCATAAGAGACAGGCTCCATGAGAACGACTCTAGGCTCACCTGTTGATCAGCTACAATTCTCTGCACGAAATGAGCAAAGGATGCAGAATAGAAATCTCCCATTAGCTGCCGTTTGTCTGTGGAATCATTGCGAAGCATGTCAGCAAACTTTTGACAATCGCAGAAGAGAACTTTAGCAACGGGCAAGTTCTTCCATTTGTACATTTCCTGCACTTTGATGACAAGGCCCTTCTTCCGTGCCATGTTGTCCGATGTTTGATACGGTCCTTCGATGATTCCTAACTCATCAAAGCAGTGCACCATGGAGACCTTTCGTGTTAAACAAGAACAAATAGGGTGAAATTATGATAAGTATAATCCCCCTGAAAATAAGCCCCTCATATCGCAGACGCAAAATTCCTTCTGATGATTAGACCAACCAACGAACAGCAGTAACTCTACGCTTACCGTGGGCTCCTTTATGTGCTTTTCTAAAATTAGGACAATGGAGTCTCTGAGATTAAAAAATGGCGATCCTCTTATGTCTTGAGTCTTCAGCTCAAGATCACGTTTGGTGCGGAACATTTTCTTCCAGATTCTGAAATAAAAATAAATTTACAGACGTTTAATTTGTATGGCTGTGTGGCAACAGTTACCATCACACAAAATACAAATCTGTAAATATCGCAATTTTTGAAAATATTGTTTGAACGGTACCGTAAACTGCCGCTTATAAGCCCTGGGCTTATACAACTTCATAAGAGGTTAAGAGGGGGGAGCGAGGGGCTTATAAGCGAATAAAGAACATTATCTCAGATTGAGAATGAGCTGCTAAGAAACAAGTTGATGCAGATGCGTTTTCCATAGCCCTTTAGGTCAGTCAAAAACAAATTTCAAGCCCTGAGAACATTAAACGCAACTGGAACATAACTAAAAGGAAGAAAGAAAATTAATATGGTCTAAAGTTCTGTGAGGAAATAAGGGGGTTTATATCCGGAGGGGCTTCTAACAAGAATTGTTTTGGTTAGCGGGTAGTGGGCCTATAACCGGGGGCTTATAATTTGGGGGGAGGGGGGGCTGGGGGGCTCATAGGCGGCAGTTTACGGGTAGGTTAATTGTTTCCTTTGAAATTTGGCACGATTACTAAATTGTGAATGCTCTTTCTAGTTATGATGGTGAATTTCTAAACGTTGTTTGCGTTGCACATACCTGATGTCATTCAGTTTAGCATCCCATAATGTCA